ACACCAATCAGAGTCTGAATAACTCAGAAGTTCTGATTCATCCTTTCTTCCAGAGGGAAATAACACTCCATACTTCAGAGTTCCCTTGATATACCTCAGAATCCTGACAGCAGCTTGATAATGGGACCACTTAGGTTTACTCATGAACCTACTAACCATCCCAACAGAATAGCAAATATCAGGTCTGGTATTGCACAGATACCTCAGAGAACCAACCAACTGTTTGAAGGTTGTAGCATCCACATCTTCTCCATCAGAGTCAGAATCCAGTTTCTGATTTGTATCTGAAGGTGTGACAGCAGTCTTACAATTCTTCAGTTCAAACCTCTTCAGAAGTTCTAATTCATACTTGAGTTGATGCAAAATGATACCTTTCTCAGAATATCTGAACTCCATCCCTAGAAAGTATGTCATTTTGCCTAGATCAGTCATTTCAAATTCATTCATCAGAACTTTCTTGAACTTGGCTATCTCCTGTTCAGAACTTCCAGTCAATAGTATATCATCAACATATAAACATACCAGAGTCATATTGCCTTCAGAAGTATGCTGAACATAGACACCGTACTCCATCTCACATTTCTGAAAGCCTTGCTTCTTGAAAAATGAATCAATCCTCTGATTCCAAGCTCTAGGCGCTTGTTTCAGTCCATATAGAGTTTTGTATAATTTGACACCATCCCTTCCTGATTCTTTTTCACAAATCCAGGGGGTTGTGACACATAAACTTCTTCTTCTAATGGACCATTCAGAAATGCAGATTTTACATCTAAATGCATCAGAGGCCAATTCCTGTTAGCAGCTATTGCAATCACCATTCTGATTGTTTCATGTCTTGCTACAGGTGCAAACACTTCAGAATAATCCAGCCCAGGTTTCTGTAGAAATCCTCTGGCTACCAACCTTGCTTTATGTTTGCCAATTGAACCATCTGGCTTTAACTTCTGCTTGAAAACCCATCTGACGCTGATGGCTTTCTTGTCTTTGGAAGTTCTGTCAGCTTCCAAGTCTTGTTTCTCTCTATAGCATCAAGTTCTTCTTTCATGGCCTTTAGCCAAAGATTCTGCTTAAGAGCCTCTTCTGTACTTATGGGTTCAAAATCTACCATCATGGCACACTGAATAATTTCTCCTTCAGAGTCTACTTCAGTGTCTTGCAGCATGTCAAATTCTGCATATCTTCTGGGAACGTTTCTTATTCTTTGTGGTCTCTGAACTTGTTCAGAGTCTTGAGCTTCAGAGTTTCTAGCTTCAGATGATTGACCTCCAGAGCTTTGACCATCTTCAGAGTCTGGCATATTTCCAGAGTCTGAATTGCCACCAAGATCTGGATTGCCATCAGAGTCTGAATCATCAGAGTTTGGGTCATCTGGGTCACCTTCATCTTCTGAGTCTTCTTCAGAGTTTGAATCAGTATCAGAGTCAGAGTCAATATCAGGGTTTACTTCAACTTCAAAAATTCTTAACTCTGGCCTTTCTTCAAAGGTTCTAACATCAGAATCAGATTGAGACTTATCCCAATTCCAAACTTCTGATTCCTTCACAATCACGTCTCTGCTGAATTCAATTTTATTGGTTTCTGGACAATAGAGCTTGTAAGCACCAGTACTGTGGTACCCTATCAGAATCATCACTTTGCTTCTATCATCCAGCTTCTGTCTTCTGGCTTCTGGAACATGTTTATAGCAAACAGAACCAAACACCTTTAGATGACTAACACTTTGCTTATCTCCAGTCCACTTCTGTATTGGAACTATTTCCTTCAACTTCTTCGTAGGACATTTGTTGAGTACATACGTTGCAGTGGCAACAGCTTCTCCCCAGAGCTTTTGAGGAAGCTTCTTCTCCTTTAGCATGCTTCTCACCATATCAAGCAAAGTACGGTTTCTTCTTTCAGCAAGACCATTGTGTTGAGGGGTATAAGGAGCAGTAACCTCATGCTCAATTCCATTCTCCTCACAGAACTTCTGGAACTCTTTGGAGTTATACTCACCTTCACCATCAGTTCTAAGAATCTTCAACTTCTGACCACTCTGATTCTCAGCCTTCATTATGAATTTCTTGAATTCATCAAACGCCTCGTGTTTGAACTTAATAAGAGATACCCATGTCATTCTTGTGAATTCATCAACAAATAACACAAAGTATTTATTCCCTCCAATTGATGCTACTGGAAATGGACCACACACATCAGAATGTACAACTCCCAAGGCATGTTTTGCTCTTGGAGCAACTTCTGACGCAAATGGCAAACGTGGTTGTTTTCCTTCCATGCAAACTTTGCATGACTTTTCGGGCTTCTTAATTGCAAGAATTCCATGTACCAGCTTCTTTGAATTCAGATGTTTTAAGCTTCTGAAATTCAAATGACTAAATCTTCTGTGCCACAGCTCACTCTCCTTCTCAGCACATGTTGCACTAAGACATTCTGAGTCTGCAGTTCTGACATTCACCTTGAATGTTCTATTCCTTCCCTGTTCTGACTCCATAATCAACTTCTGATTGTAGTCATACAGCTTCAGAAGATTGTCCTTCATGGTAACTGAAAAACCTTTCTCAATTAATTGTCCCACACTCATCAGATTGCTTCTGATGCCAGGTACATACCACACGTTCTGAATCAATGTTGTTTTCCCATTGTTCAGAGTCACTCTGACATTTCTCATACCTTCTGCATTAAGATATTTGTCATCAGCACATCTGATCTTTGTTCTCTTTTCAGAGTCAAAGTCAACCAGCCATTTCTTGTTTCCAGTAAGATGATTTGAACAGTCAGTGTCCATATACCACCAGTCTGTCAGATCATCAGATTCAGAGGCCATCAATAGCACAGATTCGTCATCAGAACTTCTGGCTATATTTGCTTCTTCTGATTTCTTCTCCTTGTTTGACCAACAATCTCTAGCAAAGTGACCAAACTTCTTACAACAGTAACATTGGATCTTCTTCTTGTCATACTTCTTTTTTCCCTTCTGAGCATTCTTTTGTCTATCAGAGGTTGAGGTTTCTGACTTCTGACCACCATCAGATCTTCTCTTGGCTTCTGACTGCTTCTGATACCTCCTATCAGAAGTTGCTTTCAGAGCCTGCTGCTCTACTTCCCTTTCAGAAGTTCTCTCAGTCAAACGCAACTCTTGCGCTTCTAAACTGCTCTGCAGCTCTTCAATTCTCATGGTACTCAGATCTTTGGAATGTTCTATTGTTACCACAATGTAATCAAATTAAGAGGTAAGGGATCTCAATACCTTCTCCATGATTGTTTCTTCAGAAAGAGTTTCTCCACATGCCTTCATCTCATTAGTGATCAGAATCACTCTGGAGATGTATTCAGAAACTTTCTCATTATTCTTCATCTTGAGATTCTCATATTGCTTTCTCAAGGACTGAAGCTTCACCTTCTTCACTGATGCGTCACCACCATAACATCTCGCCAGAGTGTCCCATGCAGCCTTTGCTGTTGTAGAGTCTGCAATCTTCTCAAACACGTTTACATCCATACATTGATGAATGAAGAACAATGCTTTCTGATCCTTCTTCCTTACTTCCTTCTGCGCGTTTTTCTGTTCATCAGTCGCATCTGCTGCTACCGGAACATAACCATCAGTGACATGATCCAGAACATCTTGAGCACCAAACAGTACACGCATTTGGATCATCCAACGATTCCAATTTTTACCGTCAAATACTGGAAGTTTGGTGTTCATGTTGCCGTTTCCGTTCATCTTCTACTTTGCACAATACACTCAGAGTTTTCTCACACAGTGTTTCCCAACCCACAGAATTAAAAAATTCTGATCAGATTTTGTTCAAGATTCAACAAGAATCTGAGAAACAAAATCAAACACACAAGACCTCACGTTCACTCGTGTTTCCCGTGTTTCCCAATGAATCTGAACCAGACTCTGATACCAATTTGTTGGTGCAAAGATAGAATAAATGATGAAATACGGAAATATTCTATTAAAGAGAATGACGACTACAAAACATGATATTTGGTTACAATGATTGTCACCCTATTTATAAGCTAAAACTAGGGTTATTAGAATAAGATAAATACTAAAATACCCTCTAACAAACTTATGGGCTTAAGAAAGTAATATAATAAAATATGAATTATTACTAATAGAATGAGAAACCACCAACCACACGCCACCGACATCGTTTAGAGAACAACCACTCGAAAACTATAACAATAACAACTCTAAAAGTAAAAGGAAGGTGTGGAGAAAAGACATCATCCCACCACCAAACAACTTAGTTAGCTGTTGAATAAAAAAATTTAAATTTTAGACAAGGAAAAGTGGTGGATGGCAAGAAGAGTTTTTTACTATTGAAATATAACTTTTAATTTAACTTATTAACTATTTTTCATTAATAACAAGATGTAATCATCAAATCTAATCTATCAACTTTTAATTTTTATTATAAATATAACTTACAATTTTTTCAATATTGTTAAATAATTAATTTTTTAAAATTATTCATTTATATATATATATATATATATATATATATATATATATATATATATATATATATATATATATATATATATATATATATATATATATATATATATATATATATATATATATATATATATATATATATATATATATATATATATATATATATATATATATATATATATATATATATATATATATATATATATATATATATATATATATATATATATATATATATATAATTTGTGAGTGTAAATTAGACAACATAACATAAGTATCCCCAAATTAATCTTCCTCATTTTCAAGACCGATACAAGTCCAATGTATTACTTCTTAAAGAAAGATATTATTATTAAAATATAATATATTTAATTCTTCAATAGTACTATTAAAATAAAATGCATACGTAAGGTAACGAAATAACGGGATATCACGATCATCCAACTTCATACGCTACTTCAACTACCTCCCACCTTTTATTATTTAAATCTTCTCTTTCACTTCCTCTTCACTCATTACTTCTTCTTCAATCATGGACTTTTCTCAACTCTCCACTCTTCTCTTCCTCGCCGTCGTCGTTTCATTTCTCGCCGTCGTCTCCGCTGGCCGTGACCTCCCCGGAGACTATATCCGGTTACCGTCTGAAACTTCCAGATTCTTCCGTGAACCTGAAAACGATGACAACGAACAGGGAACTAGGTGGGCGATTTTACTCGCTGGTTCTAATGGTTACTGGAATTATAGACATCAGGTATATATACACACATGATACATACAATTCTTAAAATCTATATATTCTTTGTCTTTGATCAAGTTATTTATAATCCTTGAGTTTGTTTCATGTTTTTGTTAGGTTTTTTTAATTTTTTATTTTGATTTGGTCTCTATATGAATTGAGGACCAAAAGGAAAATAGTTGACTGCATGTGGACTAAATTGATGAACAATTCTATGTAGAGGGACTAAATTGAAATTATTTTATACAGAGATAATGTTGAGAATGAGTGTTGTAAATTATCAATAGCATGATTTAGTTTAGTCTTAATTTGTGTTTGAGTTTTAATGTTGAGTTTTTGTTGGTTAATCAGGCTGATGTTTGTCATGCGTATCAATTACTGAGGAAAGGTGGTTTGAAGGAAGAAAATATTATTGTTTTCATGTATGATGATATTGCTTCCAATGAAGAGAATCCGAGACCTGGTGTCATAATTAACAAACCAGATGGTGATGATGTTTATGCAGGAGTTCCAAAGGTAAGGTTATGCTTAGTTTTGAGGAATCTAGTACCGATGTTTCAGATTGAAGGTGTGTCTATCAGATACATGTTTTGTCCTTGACCAAGTGGTTACGTTTTACTAATAACTTATGTTTCTCAAATTATTATTGTTGTAAGTGTTATGTCTGATGCCCAAGCCTATCTTAGGGCTTCGTAGACTTTTAGGCATGTTTGATAATTTTGTAATAAGAAGTTTTTTTTTTATGACAGGACTATACTGGTGCAGATGTACATGCTGACAATTTTTATGCTGCCTTACTTGGAAATAAATCAGCTCTTACAGGTGGGAGTGGGAAAGTTGTGGACAGTGGTCCCAATGATCATATTTTTGTTTACTATACTGATCATGGTGGTCCAGGGGTTCTTGGTGAGTAATTCTCAATTCTTTTCATATAAACTTTTGGATGAATGACATGAATTGTGAGAGGTTGTTTACTATGTACTAGTAACACTTCAAATTGAAGTCATGCCTATTGTCTAACTACCATACCAATATGACACCGATTTATGTGATTATATTCAATTTTTTCTATTTTTCAAATTATTATTGGTGTTGCATCTGTGTTTGGGTCATCGGTTTCATGGATTGTCTGTATATGATATGGTATGGTATAAACCTTGTTTGGGGCTATTGATTACAAACAGTGTGTTTGTTTGAGCTGTGTTCATTTGCATGATCATGTTAGTGTTAAACTAAACCTCTCTCATATGATTTCCTCAAAGTGGAATTTGTGTTCTGTGGTTGCTTTAGGTATGCCTGTTGGTCCTTACTTGTATGCATCTGATCTGAATGAAGTCTTGAAGAAAAAGCATGCTTCTGGAACATATAAGAGCCTAGTAAGTCACTAGTAATTATCATTTTCTTGTTCCTTTCATATCAATCCCCGTTTGTTCTGTTTAGTTCATCCACGTTTGGATTTGATTATTTCTTGCTAAATAATGTTTGTCAAAATCTCTCATAAACCTATTGGTTGAAGACAAACTAAGCTAATCCTAATTTTTCGATTTATGTAATGGTGGTGCAGGTATTTTATCTAGAGGCATGTGAATCTGGGAGTATCTTTGAAGGTCTTCTTCCAGAAGATCTCAATATCTACGCGACAACGGCTTCAAATGCAGAAGAAAGTAGTTGGGGAACATATTGCCCTGGGGATTACCCTCCCCCACCCCCAGAGTACTCAACTTGCTTGGGTGACCTATACAGTGTTGCTTGGATGGAAGACAGGTATGAGCATTAGAAGGACAAACTATGATCATAAATAAGATTACCTTGATGCTTTTTTATGACCATATAATCACCATGGAGTAGTTCAGTGCTTGTGACTACTGTGTTTTGATCTAATTTTTCTTTCACTTGGGAACAGTGACGTACACAATTTGCGAACTGAAAGTTTGCAACAACAATATAAATTGGTAAGTTCTTGTTGCTAACTTATTTGATTTGTTTAAAATCAACTGATATATGTTGAAGAATATGATTCAATACCTTGGTTTCTTAATTACACATGAAAAACTTTAGGAGTTTGATAACTGATTCCTTATTTGGTCATGTGGTTACAGGTTAAGGATAGGACTATTAATGGAGCATACTATGGCTCTCATGTTATGGAGTATGGTGATGTTGGGCTTAGCAACAATCATCTCTACCTATATTTGGGCACAAATCCTGCTAATGATAATTCTTCCTTTGTGGGTGAAACTGAAAACTCCTTGAAATTGAGAACACCTTCTACAGCAGTCAACCAAAGGGACGCTGATCTCATTCATTTCTGGGAAAAGGTATTCTTTATCATGCAATGTTACTCTTTTTATTTAATATCTCTCATATTCGCATAGTTCATTTAAACGTAATGTTTAAACATCCAATATAATTGATATGTGCGATGCACGAGAACAAGATCAAGTAATCAGATATATTGAGAATCTTTTGGTGTTTATTGCCAGTTCCGCAAAGCTCCCGAGGGTTCTCCGCGAAAAAACGAAGCTGAGAAACAAGTTTTGGAAGCAATGTCTCATAGGAAGCATATAGACAACAGTGTGAAACTGATTGGGAAGCTCTTATTCGGCATTGAAAAGGGTACTGAACTGCTCAACACTGTTAGACCTGCTGGATCACCACTTGTTGATAACTGGGACTGCCTCAAAACCATGGTACTACTTCCCATTATTCAGCTTCATCTTTCCGCATTTCTTAATAACAAACACAAACACGGTTGGACTTGAACACTAATCGGAATTATTTTGTTGATTACAGCAAAACAATTTGTTTGTACGCTTCGGTCTATGAGGAATTTTTTTCACCTTTAATATGTTTTTTGATTTCAGGTAAAGACTTTTGAGACACATTGCGGATCCCTGTCTCAGTATGGTATGAAACATATGAGGTCTTTCGCAAACATCTGCAATGCAGGAATACCGAATGAGCAAATGGCCGAGGCCTCAGCACAAGCTTGTGCCAGTATTCCTGCCAATCCTTGGAGTTCTCTGAAAGGGGGCTTCAGTGCATAGTCCCTAAAAGATGCATTTTGTAAAAACCATGTACAATTGCTGTTAAATTATGTTTTATGCCTGTATATACATACAGAACATTGGTCATGATTCTGTAAAAATACAATTGGGACACTAGTACTAGCACATGGTGGAATAGGATTTGTCTCCAATGATGTGCATATTCTTTAAATCCATTCAGTTATGTGGTTGTATTATATCAAGAAAACAATTTTTAGATGGAAAAAATACCATTATGACATGGAAAACGTCATCATGAATGTTAATGTGTATAGTGTAAAAGGGCAATTAGAAGCTACCCTAGACACTTTGAAACATAATTGGCAACTCTTTGTATAATTATTTTAGTTGGATGTGCTATTCATACAACTATTATTTAGACACTTTGAAACATAATTGGCAACTCTTTGTATAATTATTTTAGTTGGATGTGCTATTCATACAACTATTGTTTAATATTAATGCTGATGTTGCATATACTTGGTTGCATATATTTGTCAGTCTTTATAGTTTAATTGAGATTGAATTTTCAACTAATAATGATCACTAATCATTATAATTATTTTTCCAAACTTATCTAAGAGTTTGAAATCAAAGATAAGTTTGGATATTATAAAATGTACGGAGTTGAATGAAAAAAGTAAAATGAAATAAAGTGGAATGAAAAAAAATTTATTACTTCATTTGAATATGGTCTAATTCTAATAATTCATTGAATAAATTTACACCTTAGAGCATCTTTAGTGGGAGTAAACTAAATGGGTAAACTAAGATATTTTTTGTGGACACAAAGTGATTTGTAGGATTTAAAAAATTTATAGTTGATTTGAGTAGTTTTTACTTTAATGGTGGTTGTCTATAAGAAACTAAAACTTGACCCCACATTTTATATTTTTTATTCAAGTTTGCCATTAATTTAATTATTTTAATTAAAATATATATAGTTTTTGGTGAAGTCTAGGGTGAGGGTTTAATTAAGTCCCTCATCGGTGAAACCTCTAAAATTAACCGTTAGATTAGATCAACGCATCCAAATTGTTATAATTAAAATAAACATATTTGTACAATCTCACACACAATTTTCTCCCACTATAACTAAATTATGTAACTTCTCTTTTTATCATCATTAACTTCCCACTTGAAAACAATATACATTAAACAAAAACAATTGAATGCAATTAATATTTAAGTGTATAAATTTTCTTATTTTTAAGATTCTATTATTGGTGATGCAATTAATATAACCAAATTTTTTTTAATTTAAAAAAAAAACATACTTTTATTTATGTTTGGAGCACAAATATTTTTTTACCCTTGTATAAATATTAATTTTAGAATGACATTGAATCAGTATAAATATGAATATATTTATAATTATCTAATAAATATCATCTCAATTTCTATATCAATTATTTTATATTAAATATAGGTAAATATATATTGATCATTTATGAACTTGTCCCGTTAAAATTTAAAATTAAATATAGATAAATAAATTAATGAGAATCAACATCATCAAAAATATTAATAATAAAAAAAAATTAAATTTAACCGATAAAAGTCATATATTATGTAATTAAAATCCTCATAATCTCTATTATTCTAATTCTACTAATTATTTTCAATCAATTATTTTTTACCCTATCTCATCAACTAACCATTTTTGTTTGAATTTTAAATAAAAAATATTTTGAACAATATATGCATTAATTGGTTTTGTAATAAAATAAAAAATAGTATAAATTTATGTAAAAATTGTTATAAAATGGATTGGTTTTGATTTAGTTAGGCATTAAAGTTTTTAGCATAAACACATTGTTGGAGATATGAAACAAACCTAACAAGTTGCTTTCACTAGCTATCATACGCTCACCTACGTAAATATCAACAGTGATAAAAAAAATTGATCATCTTCAAGTGTAAGGAAATTCCTTCTCTTGAAAATTGTTTCGCAAAGCAAGACTCGAGATTTTCAAAGACAAACTCCCTGCCATTGAAGAATACCCGCACACTTATAGTTAAATATGTTGTATATTTATTTATTCAATTTGTAAATGTTGATACTTAAAATTAGGTTATAGGTTTTGATAAATTTATCATTTTACTCATTTGTAAATGTATTATCATTGTAGATCTCTCTAATTATGCACCGTGAACACTACGCCAAAAATAGCCTTTAACAGCGCAACAACGACAGCGCTTATATAACAAAGCGCTCTTATAGGATTTTAGAAAAATTCTCTTAAAAAAAGCGCTTTAAAAGGGTAACCTTATCCGCTTATCCGGGTTCTTCATTGGATTGTGTCGCATAATATTCGTCCCAAGAAAGGCGGATATTCCAGAATTTACAAAGCCGAAGTAGCCTTGCTGTATGCTCTCATAAAGAAAGTCAAGGTTAATTGGCCTTACTATATTACTAGTCGCATTTTTGCACTGAGAGAAAAGAACAAGGTGGCCTTGAGTTATCCGTCTCCCATTCAGTCCATCTTGATTAATGCAAAGGTTGTTATGGAAGGGTTGCCTATGATGTCCACCAATCCAAATCATGAATTTCAACAAAAAAACGCTCACTCTTATGGGACACTTATGGTATCCTGTTGAAAAGAGGTTTGTTTTAAATTTGAGACCTGGTAGTCAATTTGAAACTGCTATAACATATGGTACTGGTACACTTGAAAAAGCTCCTAGTGGTGACAACACTGAGTCTGATCAAACTCGGCCTATGGAGGAAGATCAAGGCGACTGGGTCAGAACAAATGTACACTAGACTCAGTGTTGTCACCACTAGGAGCTTTTTCAAGCGTACCAGTACCATCTGTTATAGCAGTTTCAAATTGACTACCAGGTCTCAAATTTAAAACAAACCTCTTTTCAATAGGATACCATAAGTGTCCCATAAGAGTGAGCGTTTTTTTGTTGAAATTCATGATTTAGATTGATGGACATCATAGGCAACCCTTCCATAACAACCTTTGCATTAATCAAGATGGACTGAATGGGAGACGGATAACTCAAGGCCACCTAGTTCTTTTCTCTCAGTGCAAAAATGTGACTAATAATATAGTAAGGCCAATTAACCTTGACTTTCTTTATGAGAGCATACAGCAAGGCTACTTCGGCTTTGTAAATTCTGGAATATCCGCCTTTCTTGGGACGAATATTATGTGACACAATCCAATGAAGAACCCGGATAAGCGGATAAGATTACTCTTTTAAAGCGCTTTTTTTAAGCGAATTTTTCTAAAATTCTATAAGAGCGCTTTGTTATATAAGCGTTGGCGTTGTTGCGCTGTTAAAGGCTGTTTTTGGCGTAGTGTTCACGGTGCATAATTAGAGAGATCTACAATGATAATACATTTACAAACGAGTAAAATGATAAATTTATCAAAACCTATAACCTAATTTTAAGTATCAACATTTACAAATTGAATAAATAAATATACAACATATTTAACTATAAGTGTGCGGGTATTCTTCAATGGCAGGGAGTTTGTCTCTGAAAATCTCGAGTCGTGCTTTGCGAAACAATTTTCAAGAAAAAGAATTTCCTTACACTTGAAGATGATCAATTTTTTTTATCACTGTTGATATTTACGTAGGTGAGCGTATGAGAGCTAGTGAAAGCAACTTGTTAGGTTTGTTTCATATCTCCAACAATGTGTTTATGCTAAAAACTTTAATGCCTAACTAAATCAAAACCAATCCATTTTATAACAATTTTTACATAAATTTATATTATTTTTTATTTTATTACAAAACCAATTAATGCATATATTGTTCAAAATATTTTTTATTTAAAATTCAAACAAAAATGGTTAGTTGATGAGATAGGGTAAAAAATAATTGATTGAAAATAATTAGTAGAATTAGAATAATAGAGATTATGAGGATTTTAATTATATAATATATGATTTTTATCGGTTAAATTTAATTTTTTTATTATTATTAGTATTTTTGATGATGTTGATTCTCATTAATTTATTTATCTATATTTAATTTTAAATTTTAACGGGACAAGTTCATAAATGATCAATATATATTTACCTATATTTAATATAAAATAATTGATATAGAAATTGAGATGATATTTATTAGATAATTATAAATATATTCATATTTATACTGATTCAAATATATAATGTCATTCTAAAATTAAATTTATACAAGGGTAAAAAAATATTTGTGCTCCAAACATAAATAAAAATATGTTTTTTTTTAAATTAAAAAAAATTGGTTATATTAATTGCATCACCAATAATAGAATCTTAAAAATAAGAAAATTTATACACTTAAATATTAATTGCATTCAATTGTTTTTGTTTAATGTATATTGTTTTCAAGTGGGAAGTTAATGATGATAAAAAGAGAAGTTACATAATTTAGTTATAGTGGGAGAAAATTGTGTGTGAGATTGTACAAATATACTTATTTTAATTATAACAATTTGGATGCGTTGATCAAATCTAACGGTCGATTTTAGAGGTTTCACCGATGAGGGACTTAATTAAACCCTCACCTTAGACTTCACCATAGTTTTTTAAATAAAATTTATCTTAAAAACTTAAAAATAATATTAAATATATTTTATTATAAAATTAAAAATGATACAAAATTCACAACAATAATACATTAAAAAAATTACATTTTTATAGGAATATAATTATAATAAGGATTCGATTGGTTGAGATCCATTTGATAAATAAATAAGATTGGAAATTGAAAAAAAAAATTTAGAAGTAAAACTGTGTGTAAAAAAAATTAAAATTTCTATAGAATTTATAGAAGGTAAAAAATGATAATATAACCGTTACTATTTTCAAATATCATACCCTTTGGAATATTTGGAATATTTTATTAATATCAAATAATATTATAATAGGTTTCACATAGTTAACGTTAACTATATAGATAATGGGAACTAAATTTTAGTTCATTTGGATGTCATTTCAGCTCTCCTATAATGCAAATTCCTTATTACTAACGTAAGCTATAAAGAATTT